GTTTATTACCTTAGGATACAGCATGACGATTTTTAAAGACTGCTGCGCACATCAAACGATGCACAGCTCAGAGCTCATTCAATCCATCTCCTGGTGGCCATGTGAGAGAGAGAACGAGCGAGAGAGAGAGCGCAAGAGAAAGAGCGCGCGAGAGGGAGAACGAGCGAGAGAGAGAGCGCAAGAGAAAAAGCGCGCGAGAGGGAGAGAGAGACAGAGCGCGCGAGAGAGAGAGAGAGAAAGAGAGAGAGAGAAAAAAAGAGAGAGAAAGAGAGAAAGAGAGAAAGAGAGAAAGAGAGAAAGAGAGAAAGAGAGAACGAGAGACGAGAGAGAGAGAGAGAGAGAGAGAGAAAAAGAAGAGAGAGGGAAAGAGAGAGAAAGAGCGCGCGAGAGTTATAGAGAGAAAGAAAGAGAGAGAGAGAGAGAGAGAGAGAAGAGAGAGAGATTATCTACATTCCACATATAGGTATCTCTTTCTATATTTACGGCTGCGGCTGCGTCTCTCAAATGATAACCACCACTGCTTCCTCGGCCGCAATTGAACCGTCGCCGACGTATCCGCGCAGCGCACTGACAGGTGTAGCGACGCAGGGTTGTAGTCGTGGGCGCAGTCTCGCCATGCTCGCCACAACGTGTTAACCTGCCGACAGTCGTATTCATCGACCCTGTCGCCGGCGGGAGCGACGACGATGCCGCTGCGCCACGCCCACCATCGCCACCTGCCAATATAATTGGCCGACCATTTTGATTTATGCAAATGAAGAGATTTCCGTGAGAGGATTTCTTAGGACTTTTACGGATGCGTGTTCTGGGATATCACACGAAACGCTATTGTGAAAAAAAAATCCTGTTGCTTTGTTTTAAGGTTAGGCTGCAAAAATGACTAGATTTCCGGGGACTAATAATAGCACATGAAGAGTGTTCACGCGCCACGTACACGCACGCGGCCCATCATCGCCACTGCAATAGCACATGTTAGAAATGTTCACACACACGCGCGCACACGTTTCAAGCGCGCGTACACGCACACGCAGCCCACACGCGCGCTCACACACACACTCACGCACACACGCACGCACGGCGCGCACGCCACACGCACGCACACACGCGCGCGCGCACAACACACACACACGACGCACACACGCGCACGCGCACACGCACACGCACACCACACGCACACGTACACGCACGCACGCGGCGCACACAGCAACACACACACACACACACACACACACACACAACACACAACACACACAGCACACACGATGTAGCAAGAGTGATACTGACGTCTAGGCGATGCCTGCGTGAGCACAAATCTAATTTTGACAGGATTGGTATTTATTACGGTAAAATGTATTTAAAAGTTTTTGAGTTGCCGTAATGCTTATGGTAGGGAACTATAGAAATACGGCTTTTTATTTCGTTAGCAGCATATCCTTAATGCGTACCACCCTTTAGTAAAATTAAGTGTAACTGGTTAATACTTACTCTATGCGTCGAATTTGCTAGAATATGAACTTCCGTTTAGACTGCTATAAACGTAATAAGGTTTCTCAAAAAAACATATAACGGAAGTGCAGTGCTGCTCGTTTTCTCGCGTGTTCTCACATTGTACTGAGAGCGTGATAGTGACATAGATTTGTTGATCGGTCAATCAATATGAAATCGGTATCAGAATCGATGAATATCGATCACCTAGCTCAAACCGACGAGATTTTGTGTACACGTATATGATTATTTAACTGAAATATATGAAAAAATTTCGTGGTGCTTAACGAATATTGAAAATCCCGCTTGAATAGGTTTCCTGAATTTTGACGTATATTAAGTAATAATGAAGCACACTGTAGTCTAATGAATTACCCTCCTATTACATGTAATTACGCTCCTTAATTGCCATGACTTCTGAATAACGCATCCGTACCACTTTATAGAGCCTATAGCAATTTCTGTGTGCACCCATACATGTTCCGCATAGCACCTTTATAATGTTCCTTCTAAGGACGAAGACTAAACCCATGATCGAGCGCGTTTTACCAGTAATTACAGGAACGGTGGTATACGTGCGAGGCTAGCATGCTTAATTACGGATACGAGCTACTGCATAGTAGATGATTATGCTAGATCACGAGAGCGTGTTAGACCTACAAGGTGGTGTCATCTCTTGTAGCCTGTCCATTAGTTGGTAGCGAAATCGCCACTAATATATTATATATATTATAATATAAATGTGTGTGTGCGCGTGCATGGCGTGCGGTTGCGTGCGCTGCGTGCGTGTCGTGCGTGCGCTGGCGTGCGGCGTGCGTGCGTTGCTGCGTGCGTATTATGTATGTAGTGTATTAGTATGTATCGTATGTATGTATGTATGTTTGTATGTGTATGTATTGTATGTGTCTGTCTTGTATATGGGGAAGGCCCGTGCGTGTCTCTCTAATCGAACTTCCTCGCTTTGATGCGATCCTAGCTCTCTTCTCGGTCAACACACGCTTCTCTTCCCTACCTCTTCTTCTGCTCACCGCGACGTACCCAGTCTCCGGCAAGTTTTACCCCACCGCCTTTTTTTAATATTTTATTTATGTGGCGGCACGCGCCAGTGAAAAACTGTTGAATCTCTTCTCACTAGGCCTCACTAGGCAGTAGCCGAGTAGGCACCCGAAAATTATTATTATACGCACCGCCACTGCGCTCCTCTCCTTCTTAAACTACCCATGACAGAAAAATGACAAATGACAATTGTTTTTTCTTAACATCGCTGCTTACTAGGCCCTCCGTTGCAAATCATCAGTATGTGAGGTAGCCAATATAGAGTAAGACAGTACTACTAATGTAATCGCTCAGCTGTCCGTCGGTCGACTCTGAGCGGGGTCCGGGCGCGAGACGACACCGTCGCCTACGTATCCCTGGCGGCAGACGCCAGCTTGGCTGTCGGCTGCGTGGTCGATGACGCATCGGCGCGTTTGCGTCACAGGTCCCGATGTCATACGCACGTTGTCATTTCTCCTCCCCGGTGGCGTTGAAAGGTTGTTATTTTGTTTTTATATGTTATTAGCTGATTGTTATAAACAACACATCGGAGAATGTGATGGTTTATATATATATACTAATAATGTTGTATTATTGTCCTGTCCGCCGACAGGGTACCGTAAAACTGCGTCACACAATATCGAGCGTGCTGTGTTGTCAATGAGCGCGTGGCCGTGTGGCATCGTCTGCAAAACTAATGTATCTTCACTTCTTCCTTATTTCTTGATAGATATTCTACGCTATACTACACTCTTCACTCGAACTTTACGCGAATGAAATGACATGGTTAATCGTGCTCGCCCGACACACACGCGCGCGCACGCACACACACGCGTAATATACGTGCATACGCACACAACGTACGCACCGCAATCGCCACACACAACACAGATAGGCCACGTACACACACGACATTCTCACTTTCTTCCCCATTCTCTCTCTTTTTCTCTCATCCTTCTCTTTAATCTCGATCAATCTTTTATTTGTTCTTCTTCTCTCTCTTCCGTTCGCTCGCCACTCACACTGACCTATAATGCACGCTTCAGCTACTTTTTAAAAGTATTTAGCTTCCGATTTCTATCTTCTCGTCCTGCGCCTTTCTGTTCCCGTCCAAAATTGTCGACAACTTCTCCAGAATTCTTTCTCCTTCGTCTCTGTTTCTTACCTGTCGGCCTAGCTGATCTGTCCAGGATCAAGAGCGCAGAATGATTCCGTCACCTCGAGCCCTCGCGGCATCGCATCGGTTCGCGAATGTCAGTAGTCCATACGCATCCGCAGTCTCATCACAGTCAATATCCTCGCCCACGCTATTGTGTCTGTCTTGGTGGCCACAGCTGCGCACGGAATAAAAATGATAATTAATTTAAAAATGATTAATAACCGATATTATTGGATGGGCAATTACGTAGTTCCACCTGCGAAACAATGTAGCATCGCGACTCGCGAAACGTTTCAATTGTCGAATAATGGCAAATATTTAAACAGAGAAATGTAACCTTTCTGTGAGTTTAGTTGACAGTGTGTGCCCCTGCGCGGCGGTGAAATTGCCTGTCTGTTGCAGCAGAAGCATTTGAACGCGCATTTACGCTGAGGTTATTATTCGAATGAGAATACATAACACGTCAGAGACTTTGGTCGTAAAATACACATTATTTCGTGTTTATTTCCCATCCCATTTCTTATATTGAAACGATCAGTGCCTGTGGATAGCCGTCCCGATCACCCAAATTCGTTCCTTTACTCCTGATTGCAACTGTGACATATCGCGTGCATTCCCGATTGCTTGGTGCTCTCGCGGTTCCGAGCTAATGCGCATTTTGCGTGTGCTAGAACCTGCTTCCGCGAGCGTCGGCAGGTCAGAGTGATTTAAAATACATCAGAAACGGTAACCACCATGGGTCACCTGCTCTCTATGTCCTATCTAGATAAATACGATCGACTGTCGAGCATTGTCCGGCGGTGGCACGCATGATGAGGTGAGGCGGCTCTACATTACACACGCGCGATATCCAACATTTAGACGATATAGTGCACTGGATGACAGTATATCATAACTTCAATAACACACCAACACACACCGCCGCCACACACACAACGCGCGCACAGACACACGCCGGCACGCACCGCACATACGCACACACAAACCACACAAACAACACACAAACAACACACCACACACACACATACACAACATACACAGCACACTCACACACACACACACACACAACACACACAACACACACGCACGCACAGCACGCACGCACGCACGCACGCACGCACGCACGCACGCACGCACGCACGCACGCACGCACACACACACACACACACGCACACACACACCACACACACACACAGTATATATATATATATATATATATATTATATACATATATGTATATAAATAAATATATATACGATATTATATATATATTATATATATATGCATTATTCAATTTGCTATGTACGTCGCTCATCCCTACCTTCACACGCTCTGCCGTCCCCTTCGTATCCCGGCGCGCAGTGGCACTCGTATGTTCCAGGCATGTTAATACACACGGACTTTACAGGGTCGCATGTAGATAATCGCAGTCGGCACTCGTCAATATCTGAAAGGGTACCGGAATTTATGCATACCAAATTACTTGTTTACCTAAGAATGACGCTAGGACATATAAGCAGCAAGTAACAATAATGAGTAGCAATAGTATTTCTCACTCGGGATTCGAGGAGAACACTGACAAAAAATATACGGGAAACTAGACGGTTCTGTTCTCATACATAACATACAGTGCTTCAAGTTTCCCGGTTATAAATAAAAGGTAACGGGGGTCCAAAGACGAAGAAGACCTGGAAGAAAGCTAAAAGTATTTAAATTGTTTAGCGAATTCACTGGTGAGCTTGCAAAGAAAATAATATGTTGAGCGGAGAAGGCAAATAGCGGGATTAAGGGCAGGGGGTGGCGTAAAGAGAGGTAATCGAAACCATAATGGTTTCCTAAATGAGAATTCCTAAAGCTGGGAACGGAACCCGTGCGTTTAACGGCAGTTGCTATCAAAATTGTAATATAATGTACACAGTTACTAACATCCGGCCCGTCGACTGCCATGTTCAGACGTTATTAAATCATATTTCATATTATTATATGAATTATATGAGCGTATCGCGTATTAATGGCAATATGCTATTCAACATTCCTTTGAAAGGAAGCCACTTTTCATCATTATTATCAATCGGTACCTAAATTATTGCTGCTAGTAACGTCCGTATCTCATTAAATATAGCTGTTTTAATATAAAATAGTGTGTCGCTATAAACAAGGGTATTTATACGTGCATACTGAACTCCCGCCAGAACAATCCAATATTTTACACATATACGTGTAACTGCATTAACTATCGATTTACTGTCGGTTTCGCTAATCTACATTCCAATGGTTAGGGGATTAATTGTTTATCATATCGTACCCAGTGTTGTTCAGGTGAGTATCATAGTACTGTTTAGTACCCTAACCCTCACCCTTACCATAACCTTAACATTAACCCTAACCCTAAACCTAACCCTAACCCTAATCTTAACCCTTACCCTAACCTTAATCTTAACCATAACCCTAACCCATCATCTTGCTTATCGGTGCATTCCTTAACCCTTACCCCTAATAACCATGTATATAATAGCTATCGAATTTTGTATACCGGTGCATTCCTCCCCATCGCCCTCGTAGCCCTCATTGCAGACGCAGCGAAAACTGTCTTCTTCAACGACGCACGTTGCCGCTTTTGCGCAGTTACTTCGCTCACACGGATCATCTGCGCAACAGCATTCAACATAAATCATGGGTTAAACACAAATAACGTAAAAAAAACCGGATTAAACATGGGGTTAAACACAACTTTTAACATGGAATTGCTCACCCATGGGGGGCAGTTCGCAGAGAGGCGTGAGCAGAGAGGCAGCAGAGAGGCAGAGAGGCAGAGAGGCAGAGAGGCAGAGAGGCAGAGAGTGCAGAGAGGCAGAGAGGCCATTATTAGAGGTGCGTTAGAGAGGCAATTTCAGTCCGGGCACTCACATTACATTTATACAGATATAGTATTGTCCGCGGCTATATATAATGAACACGAGTGAATCTAGGGCACGTGTACAATTGATTCATTTATCTCCCCATACATCATCGCTAACTACATGTCTACACTATGACACTCCTGACCGCATCATCGCCGCATAGATTCGCCCCCCCCCCCAGCTCGCTTACCCGTCAGTGGAGATATCTTGTTTGTCTGCGCGTATCGCACTATCTGCTCGCGTTCGTCAAACACGACGAAGTTACGTGAGACGGACAGGCGCAGCGGCGGCGGGCCGGCGTCGCTGGCGGCGTACTCGAACGAGCATTCGTCAAGCGTTATCGTCTGTTCCACGGTGAACGTGAACGGTACGTCGTCGACGCGATACTTGTGCGTTGAGAACGACTTGATCAGCCCTGAAAGACGAGATCGAGGTTGTACGTGCGTAGCAGCTCTCGCGCGCATTCGCATTTTCTGCCCTAGCTTATCGCGCGCGCGCTAACTCTCCGCGCTTATATATATATATATATATATATATATATATATATATATAGAGAAGAGAGAGAGAGAGAGAGAGAGAGAGAGAGAGAGAGAGAGAGAGAGAGAGAGAGAGAGAGAAGAAGAGAGAGAGAGAGAATATAGATATATATATATATATATATTATTAGTTACTTACTATACGTACACTATACTATTATAGTTAGTAGTATGTA